TCGTAGAGTGACTGCCGGCCGAGCTACAGGCCCGCAAAGCGGTGCAAGTCAGTGGTGAGATGCAGGTGGGGTCATGTGCACTCACTGTCAAGAGCCATTTTCAGCAAAGAAACTCGATAGCACACGTCGGATGCATAGAAGATGTCAAAAGGCATTCATTTTATCCAATTAGCTTTGTTGGGATATCTTGAAAAGGTTCCCATGCGAAGAAATTTGGCTTAAAAAGGGGGATTAGAAGTTATTTTTGAAAAAAAAAGAAAATAAAATTCAAGCTTGGGTTTATTTGGAAGTAACTACTACCCGATTGTTGTCCTCGATGAGCTCTACAAACTAGTATGCTTACCTGTCCGGAAAACTTCTGTTTTTGCCCCAGGAAAAGACCTAAAAGAAATTTTTCGCGTTTGAAGAATTAATGTCCGCGACATTGTGACGCGGCCATTCCCGGACTTTTTTTTAGGAAAAGATTTTTTTAATTTTTATAATAAATATTTTCCAGAAAGCGCATTGTGTGGGTTGTAGCTCTTGAAGAGCTCTATCACCTGATGCAATCCAATCATTTTTTCATCTTTGTTTTCCATCCGAAAATGAGCGATGAAAAAAGGAAGGCGGCTTGTCCGCAACTTTTTGGCGGTCACTGTATATATATCAGTGGCGTACCCAGAATTTCGGCTCGGGGGGCTTATTTTTCAAATGAAGGTGCGTGACGTCAGCCACGCACTCCGAAAAAATTTTAGGGGGCTTCTCAAAATTTTTGCGGGCCCCCAACTCCTACAATCTGGAAAAAGGGGGCGTGGCTGACGCCACGCCCCCGAAAAAAATTTTCTTATAAGGCTATTTTGAATTCTTAAAAAATTTTAAAAATTATTTTAATTGTTTACAAAAATAAACAAGTCACTTGCACATTTATAACTCATGTAAGTAACTTTCAAAAATTTCGCGACCGTTCTCGAGGGGACGCAAAATCCGCCGGGTCACTGTCTTTAACCCAAGAGTTGAGGCTGCGACATAACACCTAAGGCTTTCCGCTCCAGCATCTGACGAGGTTTGCATCATTGCAGTCGTCCGCTTGCAAAAAAGGATCTCCAGAAGGCGGGATTTTGAGTCCTCATTCTAACTCCATATTCAAACAGGGTAATCAAGTGGAGTAAAAATAACAAGTGCGGAAGTCAAGTAAACGCAAATGGTAGTCTAGACACGGACCGCGCAGGACCGGGTTGACGAGCTAGTGATAAACTAAAGATATAAGATTGTTTCAGGCCCTCTTTCCTAACCAAGGCTGGGTTCATACCGATCCGTAAGTTTCCGGAACAGTTCCAGCATAGCTCTCGCACTGTGCTGGATGTGTGCCGAAACCGTGCTGCAATTGTGGGCGACGAGAGTTAGAGATTTCTGATCACCAAAGGTTTTTCACCCAAACTTCACTCACTTCGGTCTCCTTCTTCTAGTCCGATTCTCATTTTGTAAGATGAGCCACGATCTTGGAGCGGGTTACACTGAGCGCGCTTCTGCTTCCGTGTTTCCGGAAAGATGTGTCTCCACGCGCTCGTCGACTTTCTCTTCATTATTTTTGTTCAAAACTACTTTATATGTGCATTGTGTTGGGGTAGAGCATGTCACCAATTTTCAAATGCGGAAATCCAAATGAAAATTGGGACTTTTCTATAGTTTTCTGATAGATTTCATTTTTAGGCATTCTCAGCCCTTTTCCTTTTTCCATATTATTGTTTTCCATTCCTTCTTTTACCCCGCCTCTGTGGTGATGAAAGCTGCGAACTCGAGGCGGGGTTGGAGAAAGAACGCTGTTCTGTTACATGTGTCTGGGAGGATGGGACTTCATGCGCTCTTCCATCCTCTCTTCGTTATTCTTGTTCAGAACTACCTTCGGTTCTAGAAAGCTGTTTATGCCCCTTTCAATACAAATGCCGAACTAAGCAGCGGTTTCCTGGAAATTACGAGGTAGGTCTGAATAAAAAATGACGAAGGGAGAATGGACGAACGCAAGAAGGCACATTTTCCCGGATACATAGAAGCAGAACTGCGCTCATTCTCCAACCCCGCTTCAAGTCCGCAGCTTTTCTCATCACAAGGAGGTAAAATGAGACCGAACTGAGTGAAGTTTGCATGATAAGCCGTTGAAAACGGTCGAAAATCTCTACCTCCCGCCGCTTGTAACCAAATGCGGGCCGCTGCAGCGCATGCAGCTCAGTTCCAGCATCAGTTCCACCAAGTGCGAGAGCTGTATTGGGGCTGTTCCGAAACTTGAACCAGTATGAACTTAAACTAAGGAGTTTCCGAGAGACTCAAAACAGATTATTGTGTTTAAAGAAATGAACGTACTAGGGATGGGATATGATGTCTTTCCGATTGACATTCCATACATCTATAATACTTCCCTATAAAAACAAAAGCAATTTCACTCAAGGCAAGGAGTCCTAATGTGGGAGAGTAACATTTGTTGTTTTGTTTTGTGTTGTTATTAACTTGTGATCTCTACGATCTTTTGGTCTTGTGTTGACCTATGCGCGGGATCTGAGCGGCGCTCCCTGCTAGCTAAGTCATTCGTTCGTCTCGTCTTATCGTCAGTTCTTATTCATATCTGGTCTACTAATAAACCTACTATTCTACAAGTGTACCGGACCCACTACAAGTACAAGTTCAAGTACAGAAGACTACAACACTTAACAGATGTCTTGGATAGGAGAACGCAAAAAAAGCCAAATTCGCGAGAAGATTAGAAAAAACTAGTTTCAATGGTGTGCTTTTGTTTTGAGCAGCTGCAAGTGCAGGCCCAAGCTTCTGCAAGTAAACGGAGGGCACATCGAAAATAGTCAGACAAATCAGGGGTTCAGTTCGAGCGGGGAAGGAAAGGAGCTAACAAGGGAAGAATACCGAATTGCACTGCGTTCAGCAAAAACATGTACATTATCAAGATCCCTTTGGGACTTTGATTTCGTATCTAGCTTTCAAACCTGCGAAACAGTTCTGTGAAAGAAGTTACGGACCCCTGCATCTACAGTTTTGTCTTATCTAAAATTTTGTCTTATTTAAAGTCGAATTCGAATGCGAGTAATGATGCATCATTGATAGAAACGTTGATAGTACAGATAGAAAAGCAGCTGGCCAAGCTAGGGTTCGGGGTCTAAATTTCATGGACTGCGCTTCTGCGTTTTTTTGCAAGTTTTCACTAAAAATTATTTCAAACAGCGAAAATCAGTAGTCTTTCATATGGTTTAGATTCAAAGCACATTTCTGTCTCGGTGTGCATGATTGCTCTTATTCGTCTGTATGCAATGAAAAATCCATAGAACCAGAGACCTGTACCTACCTTTACAGATCCGCCTCGCAGATTTGAAAGCGGATATATATTCAGTGTTTCGAAGGGATTATAATAATTTACGTCTCCTTACTCGCCAGTGCGGCTCAATATTCCTTATTCGTAAGACTTCCATAAAAAAATATGTAAAAAAAATTTTTGGTGTATACGGGAAAGCACTCTGTTGAGATGACTTATAAAAGCGGAGAAGGATGTGAAGCGGGAAGGTTCGAAAAAAAATATCAAGAACCTACAGGTAGATGAAATATGCGAGGTTCACATAATTTCGATGACAATTTAATTCGGACACTAAGAATTAAGCGAGTTTTACACAGGAGAATATAGGGAAAGTAGCGAGAACTGCAAAGATTTAGTTGGATACCTTGTATCAGATTTGTATACAAGCATTTTGATGAAAGAAATTAGTAGAGAAGGAGAGAAGCATCTGACGCTCCATAAAATCAAACATTATGCAATTTTGATGTGATACGTTGCTTACAGTTTAATTATGAAAACAAGGCAAATTTGGTGGCTCAGTATGTCATTTTCTCTCGAGGAAATCGCCTTCGAAGCCATGGGTGCAAGCTTTGTGCGCTTAGAAAAGTCCGTGATTTCCCTTAGGGTCTCGCAATGACACGGCTCCTCCCTTAGCGGTTACTGTTAAACTCGGCCAAAATCAAGTTGGAGGGCCTTGTAAGAAGGCCCTTTTCGCCATTTTCATGCTTTTTAAAGTGAGTTCTTAGGATCAGCGCAATGGATGATCCAGGTGAGCGGGAGTCGAGTAGAGAGTTGGCCGAGCCACTTGAAGCCAAATTAGCACTCTACAAAAATAATATCTAGAAAGGCAAACGAATGCACCAAAGCTACTGGAGGCAAGGCAGGAACCGAGAAATGTGAGGCTCTGACCACAAAATTTGTAAGCCAAGAAAAAGGTTGAAAGCGTTTTGCTGAGAACGCCTCAAAGAGATAAATGAGGGAAAAAATGAGGCAAACAGAATTGAAGCAGCTTGTTCTGGGCATCCGAACAATAATTGATTAATGGCCACTTTGACAGAGCGAAAACGAGCGAAAAAAGAAAGATAAACGCTATTGTCTTCAAAGCGTGATGGGGAAGAGAGAAAACTCCAAAAAGAGAGTTTTGGGCGAAGATTGTTCGAAAGGGGAACTGTACAAAAATGAAAACAAGGATCCATTGAGTTTTCACGCCTATGCCATGATTATTCCCTACATGGTCTAAACAATCTCCTTTCTCTACTTCGAAACCATTCGGGACTGGACTTAAGCATCCAGCGGATTTTTTTTGTTGTGTTCCTTACTACTGATTATTTCTCGAGTTTTCATTGATTGTGATCATATGGCACGATTTTTACGTATAAAATAAATAAATAAATAAATAAAGGCTACACTAAAAAGAATAAGATACGAAGGTCACGTCGGCTAGTCTTGAAAAGTGAAAAGCACAATGAAAAGCCTCCAACAAAATTTGCTGATCAGAGTCTGGCTCATATAGAGGAGCACTGCAATTGGAAAAAACGATGAAGCGGAAGACCAACAAAGGCGGAGATTGAACGAGAAGTGGGATGAGTCACTCATAATTTTTTCACCAATTGTTGCCCACCGTCTCTGCGATATTTCAGAGGACAAGGTAGATCTTCAAGAAATAGACGAAAAACTCGCAAAAGCAAACCTTGTCAGTTATATCACGAAACACTGCGTTGAAAAAGAGCTGCCAATCAAAGTTAGGTAGCTGCTGGTTCATCTCTCCAAGAGTCATTTTCGTGTAAAGTTCTGCGATGTCATGTCGTTGGTCGTCAGCCATTGTGATCTGAAACTCAAAATTTCTGCAATTAGCCTTAGCATTTGCTACAGGGGCAAGCATTATCTGCAAATGAACTGATCAGCATGAGTACCTTCCAAGCTCACATCTACTAGAATACATTGCTCATTTAAGTTGGATTGCGATATTATGATATTTTGAGATAGTGCGAGGAATGGCAAAATATATGCCAAGAAATGCAAGGCTTCAAAAAGAAATAGCTCGAACTTCGGTTAACTGGTAATAAGTTGACACAGCAGCTTCAGCGAATGCTAGCACCGAAGCTATAGCCAATCGCATTTATTTGAAGTCGCAAATCATATTTCCTTTCAACAAAAGAAAAACTGCACTTTTTTGATCATCAGACCACCCTATTAAAATCGAGGCTGAATGCTGTTACAACTGGCAAAGAGAGTGATGGATGCGATAGTGACTAAATTTCATTCTATCAGTACGATAATCGGTATCAACCTTTTTCCCTGCCCACAAAACTTCCATTAGAAAGGAAGCCACGCAAAGATGCAGTAGTGATGGCGTTTGAGAAGTTGAAGGAAGTATTTGAAATAAACTATTAACCAACTAATACAGGAGTACAAGTCCATTGTGCTCATACCCGACTGACCAGGATCAGCGGATCACGGTTTACGAGGACTCAATAAAGAGTAAATGTTGGGGAGTGATGTATTTGTGTTGTATTTGATTTGTATTGTCCTATCGTTGTCTTCCGCTGTAATTCGATCTCTTGTCCAGTTATTAGTCTCAAACTCGGTTTCTATGAGTTTCCCCCCTGTTCTCATGAAGCCTTTCCAGGTGCATGGTACCGAATGGTACGTTCTCACAATCGGGTGTATATATATGTAGGTAACCGTAACCATTCGATGATTCATAATTCCTATCAGGTAATAAAATACTGAGTATTCCACTGTGTCCGGTCAAACCCAACAAGACAAGGACTACAACAGTTAATGAAGGAAAAATTATCCTTGAAGCGAAAGACTGGATTACAACTTCAATTTATTCCAATTGGATAGAAATGAGAAGAACAATGCAAACTCTCACTTGACCCATTAACATGTACACAGGTTGAGTCGATTACATTATGTGAAATTTCTGAAATACATTTAGGGGGTCAAAAATCATAGAACGTCTACTCTTCGTTTTTATTTTGCACAGAGTGTTTCGTTCATTCAACAAATCTATTGTTGTAGAATGCCGATTCAAAAGAGAAACGTTTTGGCTTCGGTTGGTTTTGACAAAAAGGAAAGTAGAACTGACATGCTTGTGATATAATTTAAGACAGGCGTCTTATAACAGTCAATGCAGACGAGACTGGAAGCTACGCCTACAGGGCTGGAGGAGGACGGAAGATAACCGCCGTGGCTCTTGAAATCCTAAACACCGGGGAAAGACTATTATTGCAAAAGGGATTTGGAAGGCTGAAACTATAACAAGAGGAATGCGCGCAAAAGTTGCCAAACGACTGAATAAATAGATTTTGATTCTTTGGGAACGAACCTTAAAAGCAGCGTCCAGGCAAATCTGGGCCCATGGGGTTTTCCCCTGGAAACTGATGAGAGGGGTTCCAACCAGGGTCAAGCAAGGGGTGTGGCACACGATCGCTGGTTACGACCCCCCCTCTGATTGCTATCTTAATAAGACCCCCCCCCTGAACTATATACTTAACATAGCATTTTGAAGGCCCTGTCAAACATAATGGGCAACATATCCATTTAGCATGTCAATTAACCCCTGTAGACAAAGTTTTCGAGCATTCTGAAGATTCAAGATACTAGGCTACCTAAGTGAAATGGTCATATTCCAACATGGTTAACTTTGTTTAAAAGGTGAATTAGCTATCCGTTTTTGCATTCAAGATAAAGCACTGCTCCTTCTTTGTCCAACTCAGGAATCCCGCTTCAGAAGACCTCCAAACTGTGGAATTAGAAGCCAATCAAAATTTCGTTTTTCCCTTTTTTCGCTTTTGATCGCTGTGCTTTCACCAAATAATACTCAGAACTAAGAGGACGAATTCAGGCTCCAAACAGTCTTATGGAATCTACAAGGTTTAGGCTATCGATTCATATAGATAATGTCCGCTAAAATTGTTTTTTTGATATAGTTAATGGGGTGCGGCACACCCCCTTAAAAGCTGCGGCCGCCGCAGCTTTTAAGGGGGTGTGCCGCCCCATTAACTATATCATAAAAACATTTTTAGCAAGCCTTGTTTATATGGATCGATAGGCCTAGATCTCCTAGTTTTCACAGAAGTGATTTGAGCCTGATTCGTTTTCTCTGCTCTGAGTGATATTTGGTGAAAGCACAGCGATCAAAAGCGAAAAATGGGAAAAACGAGATTTTGCTTGGCTTCTAATTCCACAGTTTGGAGGTCTTCTGAAGCGGGATTCCTGAGGTGGACAAAGAAGGAGTAGTGCTTTGTCTTGAGTGCAAAAACGGATAGCTAATTCACCTTTGAAACATAGTTAACCATGTTGGAATATGACCACTTCACTTAGGTAGCCTAGTATCTTGAATCTTCAGAATTCGCTCACACTTTGTCTACAGGGATTATTTGACATGCTAATTATGGATAGGATACGAATATCATGTTATCACTATTATCAGATTACCCAACTACGACACCCTCCCCTTTGACTCCTCAATACGACCCCTTAGGTGTGGCGTGCCGCACCCCACGCTTGACCCTGGTTCCAACTAACGCACTGCCCAAGCGGCAGGCAAATGATTTAACCTTTGATTGAACTGGCTTGGCACCATTAGGGCGGGGTTTTGTGATCTAATTGAGGCCGCTCGCGGCCGCGACGCACCTGCGTCTCTCTCGCGCGAGTGCTCTCTGATCATTACCTAGCCTTAATTAGGTCACGAAGCCCCGCCTTTGCCGATGCCAAGCCAGTTGAATCAAATGGTAATTCACGATTGAGGAACCCGTCCCCAAAAACCTTTGCGCCTGCGCAGTGACCGTAATCCGAAAAATGACTTCGCTCACTTTAGCACTACGTTCGCGCTGATACCATTCTCAAGTTCCTCGTGATGACGATGACGGCGCAGGCGCGGAAAGGAAGGATTTCTCAGCCCTAAATGAATCATGTGCATTGTCGTTTGGGCAATGCCTTAGCTATCCCCTCGACAGTTTTCAGGCAAAAACCCAGACGCTCAGATTTGCTTGGACACAGCCTTTACGGAATTCACAAACAATGTCGCTTTGTTTTTTTCCTTTTCTGTCAAAGTTGAACTGATCTCAAATTGGTAGGCTACAGCAAACGTTTTTCAAATAATATCAATTCACAACTTTCGTTTGGCTAAGTGAGAAAATTCCAGAGTTGTATTTGTCAACGTAATCCTTTGGGCCCAAAGCATCTTTAAACAAACTGAACTCAGAGTGAGACTGGTGGATCCATGCAACAATGCTATTGCTCGGACGCTACCCATACACCGCAATCAAAAAAATCACGACTACAACTCTGTTCTCTAGTATGTTTCAAGAAGCTAAAGACACGAGCATGTTTATGTTTTTCTTTTGTTATACAAGTTTACTATGTATTATAGGAAACTCCTTGTAGAGATCTAGATAAACCACCTGCTACCTCTTCAGCTTAGGAATAGGATCATGATTGAGACAGGACAACACAAACTATCCTCCCAAAAACATTAAAAACTTTTATGAAAACGCAGAATACGACGATTTACAGTGACAAGACAAGCTTTTACTCCACTAACCCTTATTCCTTGGCGTCTTAGTTTGGACAACTTGCACAAACCCACATTCCACAGTTAATACCCTGCAGATCTGTACAACTCATCACCAGGAAGGATGACGGACTCAAACTAGCATGATCTTCCAAAGTTGAGAGCAATCAATACTCAAAAAACGGAATTTCAGAGTGATAGTTGAAACACTCGACAAAAAAGCACAATTATCGTGACCATTATAAAAATGATACCAAAACACCTTAACGAAGGACATCTCAAACTTACAAAAGCAAGTACAAGCAGCGGAAGCACAAAGAGCAGCTACGCCATTTCAAAAACGTCTTTCTCTTCTTAAAAAATGACCAAGAAAGTTAGTGGTTGCCATAAGCCTCTAAGGAACAATACATGATGCTGTGTTCCAAACTTCATTTTAACTTCATTAACTACTAAGAGTTAAACTTCGCCCACGAAGGAAGAAGTGTATGGGACAAACCAGCGATCGTGGATTTGATAAAGCGTTTATAAAAGCAATGTATTGGCAAAAAAACTGAAAGACTTATTGGAAATGGAGAATAAAACGTGAAGCAAAGGAGAATCTGTGAGGAGAAAGAAGTTGCAACAATGAAGCTAAGGCAAGTGTCATTTAGAGATTGGAGAACAAAAAATAAGCCAACGCGAAAAAATTCCTAGCATGAACGCAGCAGCAAAATAAAGGGCAAGTTTAAAGATGAAAAATGGATGAAAAATTCCAGGCACAATGTAGCACCATAAGTGTACTATACTTTTCTATGTTCGAAGAACTCAAATGTAGCTTTTCTTACTAGAGTTTCATGCTAAAATCAACATTTCTGGAAACTAGAACCTGGGAAGTCGAAAATCTGCAATTGTATCTCTAAAGGGTATAGTACAGAATTACTTATCTGGAAACAGCACAGCACAGCTTTGACAAAATCGTAAAAAATTTCAATTTCTCGATTTTCAGCTGAGAAAAGCAACGGATACATACAAAGTGTCCCAAAAGTAAGTACACATTTTTAAATAGTTAGCATCTTTCTTCCCACAAAGTTTTTTGCTTAACTTGAAGAACCCTCAGTGGATCAGGTTTCAAAGTAAATTTACAGCATGGAAAGGATCATTTATCGCTATTCACTACTGTAAGATTATGGTAGGAACTTTGAAGAAGATTTTGAAAAACCATTAACTACATTGTAACCCGAAATGAATTCTCAACAAGCCGATAACTTTATCATTAGGCCAAAATGAGTAGCTGACTATAATGTGAAGTTCGCACTTTATCGCAA